TTGCTTATGTCCCCACTCAGGTATGAAGTTCACTTGTTATTTCTCCATTTCATGTATCTCACAGGATTGTTGAGAGAACAAAATGGCACTATTCTTTTTGATGCACAACAATACTACAATTTTAAAGGCACACAGCATAGAAGCAAGGAAAAGGAGTCACAACCTTTTTTTAAAAAAATAAGAATCTTAGAATATTGAAGACAAAGCTTCAGTTTTCCTAAGAAAGGTTCTGATTCGAACCTGTCACAAAGCTGGTGGCCTCCAAAACACTCCAAGCCAAACCAGGCCAGTTTCGGATCAACAAATTAAGATTCAATTTTCCTTCCCACTACTGAAAACACTGAGTGATATACAACTAAGTCATTATCAGAATAGACCCAACAGTTGTAATTAGCAGGCCTAACTTTGTCCACTGAGTTCAATGGACCTACTCTGAGAATTATGTAATTGGGCAGCACCTCTTTGACTGTGGCTTGCTGTGGTTTGAATTGTGTGGGGGTTCATGTGGGAGCAGGATAGATGTTATTGCTCTGAATCAGGTGCTAAAAGTGCCATCGCTTCCTTTCCATTCTGTTAATGTTGTCGAACATAATCCGTTCCGGAAACCTGTTCAGCTTAAATGTTCGACAACCAAGGCATGGCTTCCAATTGGTTGCAAGAGCTTCCTGCACTCAAGCGGAAGCCGCATCGGATATTCAGCTTCTGAAAAACGTTGAAAAACTGGAGCATTTACTTCCGGGTTTTCAGTGTTCGGGAGCCGTAGCATTCAAAAATGGAGCCGTTTGGGAGCCAAGGTTTGACTGTATTCCTTATCTCTCGCACCCTGCTGACTACAGTGTCAGGAGGACTATGGGAGAACTGGGGGTGATGGGTTTCCTGTTCTGCTCACACAGCCAACTCATGCTTGTGCAACAGAACTTCCCCCATATCTCCTCTCAGTCCCCTATGTACCCCAACAAAAGTTCCAAGGGGTTCAGAGACAGACAGACACACTGAGCAGATTTTGGTAAAGAGGAGAGGAAGTGGAAGTCCAGCTGTGTGAGTTGAACTCTGCTTGTCCAGCATTGGCTGAAACCCTAACTCTCCTTTTTGCCCCCTCTCCCAATAAGAACATAAGAAGAGTCTGCTGGATCAGGCCAATGGCACATTTAGTTCAGCATCCTGTTATTATATTGCTCCCCCTCCCCCAATGCCTGCGGAAAGCCTGCCAGCAGGACCTGGGCCCAAGAGCACTCTCCCTTGTGTGGTCCCCAGCAGCTGGTATTCAACAGCATTCTGCCTTCGAGAACCAGGGCAGAGCATCTCAAATACAATTTTGCAGTAAACCATAAGAAAGGGAAACGTTAAATATTTCTCAAAATATTTCTCAAAGAGTTTATTTTTAACAACAATTTTAACAATAACATAAAATGATCAGAACAAGAAATAATATTGCTTGATATAACCTTTGAAAGCATTTTACTGAAGTAACAGAAAGTGGTTCCCTGTTTCTAGCTTTTTGGATTTTACAGCCATTGTTTGACTACAGAATTGCAGTATTCTCTCTAAATCCTTAGAAAATGACAATCAAATAAATTGGGCATCCATATTTGCTTTAATTTTGGAATGATCATTAATGTCACAGTTTAGGACACATGGCCGAGTCCTGAGTTTAGAGCATTTGTAACTGGCTACCTCAAAATCAAGCACAAATCCTTTTCGTCTGAAGCAATAAGGTAAGCATAGAATATGGTGAAACAAGAGAAAGCAATGTCTGTTGGTAAACTGCCCAGCATGTCAGGTCCCAGCCACTGGCCTCCTGAACCAAACCCCAGTTAAATCAAAGTGGCATTGGTAGGATCCAGACAGCTAAATTAACACAATGAATTAATTGTTAGCTGAACTCCAAGTTTCTTGGCTGGGGTTCAGACTGCCTGTTAAAACACCTTGCACAAGTCTTTCGACAATAAAACTACAGAAAATAATTGCCAAGAGCTGAGTTTCAATACAATTTAGCAAGAACGATTTTTTTTTGGGGGGGGGCAGCTTCCCAACCAACAGAACGAGCATCTGAGGTATTTATATCAATTTAGAGTAGAAAGGAAATGTAATTTTGAAGAAGAGAAAGAATGTAAGTGCTTCCACTTATTTAAAGCTGCTTCGAAGCCCCCAAAAGCTTCACAATAAACCATTTGCCTAGCCGTGGGCCAACACTGCACATCTCTTGGCAAATAACAAAAATCACTCTCATTCAGATGCAAGGCTGTGCAGTTTGTCCTATTGTTTTTCTCTCTTCACTTCACTAAAGGAATCAGTTGCTGGAGACTTCCTTTTGTCTAAATGAGTTCAAAGCCTCTCAACCAAACAGACACCTTTATTTAAATAATGCAGCAACAGAGACAAAGAGAACACAAGACTAATTTCAAGTTTGTACAGGAGAAAGACAACAAAACAAAACCAGCCTCAACTTTCCCCGATAGCTTGCATGCACGGAGGAAATCAGATGTCAACCCCCTCCCCTAAGTGTCTGGGGGATTTAATAGTGTAACTTCCAGACTAATATCTCAAATGAGACTATTTGCAACAACCCACACAACTAAGGAATCATACAAAATAGCAGGGTAAAATAAGGATAGATTTTTTTGTGTGTGTTTTTTTAAGAGTAAAGGACCCCTAGATGGTTAAGTCCAGCCAAAGGTGACTATAGTGTACATAGCTCATCTCACTTCAGGCCAAGGGAGCCGGTGTTTGTCTACAGACAGTTTTCCAGGTCATGTGGCTAGCATGACTAAATTGCTACTGGTGCACAGAGGACTGTGACGAGTGCTAGAGCGCACTGAAATGCCATTTATGTTCCCACCGCAGCAGTACATATTTATCTACTTGCACTGATATGCTTTTGAACTACTAGACTGGCAGAAGCTGGGACAGAGCAACAGGAGCTAAGTTCAGAATACTTGAATATCTCTAAGGCATATATAGATTGAGTTGAGTCATGTACAACCTTCTTCAAAAGAAGAAATCCTAACTCAGACTTTTTAGAATCAGTAGAGAAAATATTAAGTATGAGGTGGGCAGAGCCCAGCACCCTAATTTGCCCCCTTCAAGTCCCTGGTCATCTGATGAGCACAACGAAGGTAATAGTCCCTCTGCTATTTGGAGCTGCATGGATCAGCTGTGTGCCTGCCCCTATGTGTGTATGTGTAGGAGAGAGAAGGTGTGAGACAATATGGGGTAGCTTTTTGCCACACGCAACACTGGCATGTAGGCAAAAACAAAACAAAAAAGCCCCCAAGCCCCCTCCTGCTGAAGTTTACATGTACCAGGTACTGCCAACGCACTGCAAAAAATGACAGAAATATATTGTTGAAGCAGATTTGGCATACAGTAGCAGATTACAAACCCTGCAATGTCAGTTTCCAGATAAAGTAGGAAGCAAACAAGCAGCAGCATGAATAGTTCAGAACATCAGAGTTGTGCCAAAGGAAAGGTGCAGATTTTACTGAGCCTTCTGGACTTGTCTGTAAATAAAATTTTCACAGTGGGCAGTAAGATCCCTTTAAGCATCAGTTGAGTTTATTTATAATCAATCAAATTTATTAAGAGTCATCTACAGATGGTCCTAAAAGCAGACTCTTGGTCCATTGCAAGAGTCTCAGCAATGGGATGCTTGGGGAATTGTGTTCTTTGCAAAACTCTCGAACCTCACTTTCCAGACTACTGTTGGACCCAAATGCAGTTGTTGTTTTTTGAAGTTTGCACCTCTCCAATTTTGCAATATAGCTCTCAGCTCCAAAACTGTACCCAAAGCATAGAAAGATGCATATTTTCAAACAAATACATACTGCAAGAGAAATTACATATATAAGAATAACATTTGCTTATTACCAAAAACAATTTGCAATCTGTTAAAAAGCTAAAATATGTTAAGTAAAAATACAAAGGAAAACATTTCAGGTTTTTTTTTAAAAAAATTGTAACGCTTAAGCAAACGTTTTTAAAAGAAACATAAGATTAGTTCAGATAACAGTAAAAGATAAAATCACTGCTATTGTATCAATAAAATTACTTGTCACAAAACTTGCTGGCAAAATATAAAAGAGACTGTCATAAAAAGCATATGCTGTAGTTATCTGAACAGCCTGGATAGGCATTATCCCAGTGTGCAAACAATTTTATAAATACTGTACTGATGCTAATAGATGAGCAGCATTGCAGATGTGTAAATTAAACTAATCGCAATCCAATAAGGTATTTAAAACAAAAACTTACATTGAAGCATGCTGAAATCATTAACAATAAATTCACTGGGACTTCTTGCAAACCTATAGAAGATGGTCGTTTATTTAGTGAGTGGTGTTAAGAACAGAAAGATGGGTATGCCTACCAACAACCTGCAACCCATTGTCTCCTTCTTGCCCTCTTCCCATGATCTCACTTGAGTCTGTGTGCATGCTGTGACATCATCACAATTCAAGTTTTTCCATCCTGCTCCAGTTCATTGGTCTTTGCTTATAGAGTCAAGGAAACTTGAAATGTGATGATTCCAAGTTTTCAATTACTGGTGTTGTTCTTACAAGGACATAAACATGACTGATTTTCTCTGGATTGAAGCCTCTAAGTTTTTACTTTATCCTATGTTGGCACAGCCTCAGATCTAAATATTAGCAACATTTAATGGACAATAAGGGCCAAATCCCTTCATGTTGCTATTAGAAACTAGAGGCCACTGGCCAGTAATAAAGAAAACTCAAACTTTAAAATGAAATATTTATATTTTATCTATTAAATGAATGTGTATTCCACCCTTAAGATGGAGTCCCATGGTGGATAAAATATAGCGATAAAATGGGTTCCCAGGGAGGATAAAATATAGCTATGAAAACAAGCATTATAATCTTCATTTGATGTCTCCATAAACTTTTCTAAACTTCCACAACTTTGGCAAAAGTTACTACATGATAGAAAGAAATCAGAATAAGATTCCTAAAACCTTTCAACTTTCCTCTTACAAACTGGTCAGTAATTCACACCAGTTTACTAACACAATTATCATATTCTGGAATATGTTACCCAGGACAGCCCACCATAAAATGCCATCAAAGGCAGGACCACTCATTGTAAACAGCAATGCTATTTCCAAGTCTGCCTGTACTAAAGGCAGTTCAGCTCCAGGACCAATGCAATTTTACCCTCCGCTTAGAATTCCATGGAATCAGTAATTTCTAATGAGTCTTCCAGTGTCATGAAATCTCCGATACTCTGCTCTGGATTTAATGTGAACCCCTGGCTTTTCAACATATTATGAGCATTCATGAACTTCTGCAAATGTTTTGAGGTGTACAGCCAATGGTGCTTCAAGACATCCTCCATTTCATAGCATTTTGATTGCCTGGCGTTCATTTTTCGAAAGCGCCTGAATAGCTTGTTCCCAGATTCATTGCCCTCACTTGCCCAAGCACCAATGGAGCCATCTCTTTCGATAATTTCAGGAACATGAGCAAGCGTTTTATGAAAGTAATTTGTGATCCTTCCCTCATATCTGTAACTGAATTTTGTGGACAGCAACTCTGCGAAACGTTGAGAGTGGAAGCTGTACTGGCAAACAAGTTCTGGGCATTCCTTGGTGGGACATGAGGACCGCCATACTGGCTTCATCTTAAGGTAAAGGTCCATGAGTTCTCTAAGGGCTTCCTGTCTCTCGTCACACTTTATTAATTCACATACTGCTTCCACAGTCTCTTTGGTCATGAGCTTTCTTGCAAAATTCCCATTCATCCTTGTCATGGGCTTTAAGTTCATTTTCTTTCGAAGGAGCTTATCAAGAGTTGATTGCCACCTCTTTCTCTCTTCTTTGGATGCGTCAGGGTTTTTGTATACTTCGCCAATCTCAAACTGGAATATTTTGTAAAACTCAGCTGCGTTGCCAATGTCACAGTGCAATGCATCTATCGAAGGAACCGTCTCAATAAAAGGCTTGGCAGAAACACCCTTCACTCTGTCACGTAGTTCTTCAACAGTCTCGTGGAAAGGGTTTGACCTCCACACCTCATATCGCTCTAGGTTTTCAGTATGACTTCTCGTTATGGAATGGAGGATCAAGTTCTGAGATGCTTCCTGGCGTGTTGTATCACAAAGTGTGCAAATGTAAGTCGAGCCAGAGGCTTCAAGGCCCTCTACTTCACGGACAAGCTTTTCATCATATCCAGTGCCCCGAAAGACAAATTTGAACATTCTGGGGATCCCAGCCATATCAAGTATCAATACACTATTTTTCATGGCCTCTCTTTCTGCCACAAGAGGGCTCAGTATGGCTGTGAGTGTCTCATGATCTGATTCGTCAGCCAGCATGAGACACAAAGGTTTGCAACACAGTTCTGAATTGGGCTTGCTTTCTTCAAAGATATTGGAGCTTCCCTTGTCATGAGCTACTGTGATGCTCATGAGTGTGAAAGAGAACCGAACTGCTTTCTCGGGGACCGGTGGGCCACAGCCATGCTTTTCACTGACATCTCCCATTCCATCACAGGACTCTTTAATCACCACGGTGAAAGGGCCTTTCAAATAGTCATCCAAGTCCTTAGTTTTCAGTCCTTCCATGATGTCTTCTTCCATATCCATCAGGACAGAAACCAAAGCTGCATCATATCGAAATCTCTTGGCAATTGTGTCCACTGGGTAGTCATCAACGAAATGCTGTATGCCTGACAGCCCATCAATAATGCCTACTTCTGTGTTACTGGAGACATTTTTCAAGGGTGGCTTCCACTCAAATGGATGGTAACCTGGGAGGAGAGACTTTTCAGCAGTTCGGAGGGCATGCAATGGCTGAAATATCTGCCTTCCTGTTATTGCTTTTACAGTTCTGTACATTTTATGGTATTGGCTACAGCTGAGAAAGGTGTTGACCCGAATTGCCAAGCAAACAGCTGGGTGAAGGCCTGATCCCTTTCCTTGCATCATAGCTTCCAACTCATCAGCTTGTCTATGTTCATTTCTCGCTCTCAGAGCCAGTAGGAACAAAGTTAGACACACAGACTTTACATCTCCCCCTTCTTCTTTCTCAGCAAAAGCTTTCACTTGAAGCTTGAGTTCTCTTAGGCGGTGCTTTTGTGCTCTCCGGGTCAATGAAAGTAAGTGTTGTCTTGGCCGCCCACCTTTGTTTACATACACATAGCCCTCTTTGTCTTCTACCTCTTTGTGGATGGAAAGATGGTGGCAGTATTTTCCCAGGAGGACCTCCTCATGACACCCTTTCACTGGACATCTCACAGCCAAACTGTTGAGGATACTCAAGAAGGATTTAATAGGGCTCACCAGATCTGTCGGAAAGCAAGGATAGCGACAGGCTGGGCAATAACTTCCCATCACTTTGAGGCATTTAAGGATGCAGACTCTGCAGAATAAGTGCCGACATGTCGTTTCTACTGGATCAGCCAAGATATGCTCACAGATCTGGCAAGAGATCGATTTTACAAAGTCCACAGGATAATCTACAGCAAGGATCTTGGTACTGAGGTGTATCTTGTTGCAGTTGGCAATCTTTTTCATTAAAGCCTTGTGGTTCACTCGTTTCGTATTCCTTACGCGCCTTATTTTTCTAGCACGTCCAGCTGCGATCCTGAGCTTTTTGCTCATGTGTGGATTCAGGGCTTGCTTCTTTCTTTTGACCCCACGGAAGGCAGTGCCACACACCTCGCAGCTTGGGGAATGGGGATGCCATTCCATGGTGCCATTCCTTGGGAAATACTCTTCACATGGAGAATTGCTGAATTTCCTTTGAACAACATTCCAGCAGTTGTGGCAAAAATTAGTAGGATGGATTGTGTCAATGTCACCTCTCACGTCTATCTTGAAAACCTTAGCAAGAAGATCTGGCCAGGATGTGGCCCTTTTCTCCTTCTTTCTTAGAAGGGCTTGCATCTCATCATCCACTGGCCCATGAACTGGGTGGCTTCGCTTGTAAGGGTCAGTCTTAAATGAGCCTCCACAGATGCGACAGAGGTGCTGCAGTTTGGTTTGGTGAGTTTCAATCTCCCTTTGGTTCACAGGAAAGGCAATTTTATCTCTTGCCTGCTCAGTGCTGTTGACTTCTGTGACTGTTTCAGAAGGTTCTTGTGACACTGAAGTAATCACATCAGCCTGCTCCTCGGTGACATTGTCCAGAGAGGCTGCCTCTTTTCCTTTATCACTGTGAGCCAGGTGACCGTCTTCAGGAAGCGGTTTGCTAAGTGATCTCACTTTGAACAGCTTGAATTTCCATTCAGAAAACTTCATAGAGGGCGGCTGGAGCTGCTCCGACACAAAGCACAAGTTCATGCTTGGTGGTGGCAGCATCTCCATGCTGGCGGATGTTGACTTCCTATGATGAGGGAAAGAGAAAGAGAAAAAGAAGAGGGTTAGGAATTCCAGTGCACCAAAGTGAATGCTATGATGAAAAACAAATGGGGGGGGATGCTAATATATCCCATATTCCTAAAAAGGCCAATGCACATTATTTGATTGCTAACAAAATGACAATGAAATATTTAATTTACTTATAAAGAAGCCCAGGGAAGCAAACAGAAAAATGTTTGTACACAACAATTCAATTCAATCTAAAAAACAAATAAAAACAACTTAAAACTTAAAAACATTTGGAGCATCCAACAACATTTAAAAGCAATTGCATACCCTCACAGTTATTAATGCCATGCCAATTCAGTTGTGACCATGTACATAGACTGGTAGCCAAGTCTTGAATATGTATATTCAGTCCAATGTGTTAAATGAGGCTTGTTATTATGAGCCTGTGCATAGGATTGAAGCCACTCAGCACACTCCTATGCACATTTTCTCAGGAGTTAAGTCCTGCTGTATTTAACATGTGCATCCTCATGCAACTCTGCCCAGGGCTGCAGCCTGAATGCTTCAGAATTTGGTCCTACTTCAGAGATTCTCACATACATCAGTAGCCTGCACCCAGGGTGCATCCGGTAAACAGATCACAAATATTAAAAGTTTCCATCGTTATTTGAAAGAAAGGAAAGGATTTCCCTAGATTCGGTCCCCTGCCCACAAGCTCAACTTAAAAATGCATGGAATTTATACTTACAACCCTACACTAGTAATGCTCTTATGAGCAACATGCTTTACTTTAAACCTATTGGATTTGGGAAAAGGTTGCTTCAGACAGTACATCTGTTTTCCATGTAGAGAAGTTACAACCTTTGATTAGCGTTGTGCATTCTGTCTATATTCAATGAAAAGAAAGCCACCAGCAGCTCTAAGGACTATGTGCTGCCGATCCTGTGTCTACAGAGAGTTGCCAGATTGAAGGGAAAATGTTGTGGCACCTTAGAGACTAACTTGAACTTTTATAGCTGCCAGACTACTTCATCAAGGTATGTAGTCTGCATAAGGATACACCAGAGAATATCCCAATTTAGCAGGATGTACGTTAGAAGACCAGCTTCTTTGTTAAAAACAAAAAGAAAAACCAGAGTGACAGAATGCAAAGGAGACAGCTGTGCAGAAGGAGAAAATTTTGGCAAGTACAAGTTTGTCATGTACATATGAGGGAAGAGGGATCTGCTGCAATTCACATTTCTGCACAACTATTAAAGGAACGGGGGCAGGTTCTTTGCCCTATAGGGCCGAATAGTCTAATTTATAGACCCATATAACCCAGATTATGTTGTGTCCCACAGAGTGCTGTCCTAGAGGTGTGTAGAGTTGCCAGCTTTGGAACTGGCCCCTTTAAAATTACTTTTTGATTCATAGCTATTAGCAGGTGACATCGACTCTGTCGGCCTGAAATCAGCATGCGGTGTGGCAACCAGAATTACATTTATTAGCCAAGCACAAACTACATGCATGGACTACTCTCTGTGCTCAATGTGGGCATATTTTGCCTCTCTCCACAGATTTGTTCCTGCAGGCCTGTGTGCACAAGGAGCTATCAACATATAATAATAGTTGGAGGGCAGAACCAGTGGGCGTTATCCTAACCCCTGTCCCTGAGATATTGTACTTAGTCTCAGCACCTTAGCAGAGGCCTAACATTTACCTGCTGGTTTCTGCATAAAACATTGCTATTAAATGCATACGTGCAAATCGGCTGGTGATCTTAAGCACAATGTCTTAGAAAAAACAAGTAATAAAACCCTGAAGTCTATGCCTTTTGTTACAGAAGACAAACAAGCACAATATATAAGGCACTGGAGTGTCCACGTCTTTCCAAGACAAAACATTCTAAGCATAATGAATTTGTTAGTCACAATGTAGAAACTTAAGCCTCTTTTTTCTCTGAATAATCTCACTGCTATTAAGACTGTACAGTCCAATCCTGTACATACTGCTTACTCATATCAAGCCTCACTGAGTTCAGTGGGATAAGCATGCATAGAGCAACAGAGTTCAGAGAAGCTTTCCCCAGTGCTTGTGTATATGTTGACTGCACCCTTGGGTCACAATCCTCATACTACTTAATCCAGAATTTCTACTCAGTCATGAAGCTCACTAGGTGACCTTGGGCCAGTCACCATCTCTCAGCGTAACCTCCCTCACAGGGTTGTTGTGAGGATGAAATGAAGAGAAGGAGAACCAGGTACACCACTTTGAGATCCTTGGAAGATGAAGGTGGCATATAAATGTAATAATAATAATAATACAGTGGTACCTCGGGTTAAGAACTTAATTAGTTCTGGAGGTCTGTTCTTAACCTGAAACTGTTCTTAACCTGAAGCACCACTTTAGCTTAATGGGGCCTCCCGCTGCCGCCGGAACACGAGTTCTGTTCTCATCCTGAAGCAAAGTTCTTAACCTGAGGTAATATTTCTGGGTTAGTGGAGTCTGTAACCTGAAGCGTATGTAACCCGAGGTACCACTGTAATAATAATCCAACTCTAGCTGCATTCTGCAAATTATTCAAGCTAGTTTACATGACACTTAGGACTTCTTAGTCTCATTGCTTTCAAGGAATGGGGGGTCCTAACCATTGGCCTACTAGTTGAGGTTAATGGGAGTTGAAGTTCAACAACATTGTGGGGAAGGGCTACAGGTTCCCTGATCCACTTTACCAGATGTGCTGTGTGATCCACACAGGGGGGCAGCTGCAAAAAAAACACGACAGGGCTCTTACATATTCAACAGCTGTGCAGAAGCAGGAACCACAACAGGTGTTGCTTGTCATGCAACCCACACCTGCTGAAACCCCTGCTTCTAGAGAACTATCAAAGGTGCAGGAGACCTGCCCTTTCTGCTGCCCACCCCCAGCACCATGGATTCACAATGAAGCTATTTTATAGTCTGCTTCTAACCGTGTTGCTTGAACATAACAAGAAATGGTGGGTGGAATTCAACGTAACGCTAAGGAGATCGCTCCATCAGCACAACTGTTTCTGCTTGCCTGATGGAATGATCTCTCTGTCCTTCCCCTCCACACTGCTATGGGGGTTCTCCTGACCCCCCCCCAGCCAAGGTTTTTGGGGGGGCATGCAGGAAAGCCCCATTGTGCCAGCAGGAATCATTACACTGGCTCCCACTAGGGCTACTATTCGTTTATTTATGAAAATATTTATATACCACTACATCGTAAAAATATATCACAATGGTCCACACTATGCAAACATAAAACCAGACAGTAAAATCATTAATAGACATTCTTAGCCACAGAGGACCCTGGGGCCTCTAGTGACAATGATGTATCCAGGAGTACCCCCAAACTGGGCACTTGTTCCTTCAGAGGGAATGCATCCCCATCAAGAACAGGTAACTTGTCAATCTCCTGAACATGGGAGGAACCCACCCAAAGATCCTCCATCTTCCCAGGATTCAAACACAGTTTATTGGCCCTCGTCCACCACCAACCAGCATCCAGACACCTATCCAAAGTTTTCACTGTCTCCCCTGATTCAGATGTTACTTGCATCTGGCCCATCATCTGTATAGTTTCAGCTTAAAATCAGTGACACATCTATATTGCAAAATAAAGTGCCATATAACCTCTTCCCTTTCACAATATCATTGGAACAAATATTCATCCATCCTCCTTCAGTACTGGAAGATCGCTAGGATTTAGGTCTCACAATAACAGATAAGGCAGTAACCTGTGGCAGGAATGTACCTCATAGGACTGTGCTGTTAAGTGTATCCAAGTGTGGACTTAGAGCTCAGTCCTAAACATGTTTACTGAAAGGTCAGTCCCACTGAATTACATGGGATTTAATGAATTAATAAGATTGTTTAGAATTGCCTTGCAATTAATAGTCCTGCTAATACGAAGTTATTCCTTACACTTAAGAAACGGGCATAGGACGTGGGGGGGGCTCATAGTAAAGAATTGGATTGCAGTGGATGACATTAAATCAAAGCAGTTCATCACGTCATCTCACCTTGTCTCAACCTTCCACAATGACTCATCCCATATCACACACCTAGGCCTAATGCTTGCTACGGTTATGCAGCTCAGGTGTTACATGAGATTGATTTCATCTCCTGCCTAAGAAAAGTTCAAAACTAAAATGCCAGGAGAAGCTTTCCTAATCCCTCTGGCCTCATCGTCAAATACTTTCTCTAGTCTCAAGGCCTCAGGTAATGTAACTTCCATCTACTTGCTCAGGAGATTATTCAAAAGGTCTCACCGTGAGGGATTTCCTCTCACTACATCTGCATTTATCTGTGCTCTGTTGGCTCTAATTAAGCTCTGTGAGGTAATCCTACCCAAGGGCACAAGCCACAGGGAAGATCTCCTGTGCAAACTCCTTCTGCAGGAATAGGAGCTGCAGCAAAAGGACTTCCCAGTGCCCTTGGTGTTTACCTTGACATGCAGTAGCCACAATTACCTCTCTGTATTTGGATAGATCGGATAGGGGTTTTTTAACTTGGGGTGCAGGGGAATGAAAATAATTATCAAGCTATTTCCCTCTTAATATGCAAAATGGCTAGGGTGGTTTGTTTGTTTGTTTGTTTGTTTGTTTGTTTGTTTGTTTGTTTGTTTGTTTTCATCCCTGGCATTTGCTTAGAAAGGCACAATCAGATTTGTATTCTGACACAAAGTTCATTTCAATTGCAATAACTCAAACTGGTCCTAGAAAGCTGTTGTTTTTCTGTTACTTCTGCTGTGGAATGACACACGCATCTGAGACACTCATCATGAACCCTTCCTTCTTCCATCTCTCCTGATGTGATGCCCCTCAGATGCTGTTGGACTACAAATCCCATCATCCCTGATTATTGGCCATACTGCCTGAGCCTGATGGTACCTGTAGTCCAAAACATTTGGAAGGCACCAGGTTGGGAAAGGCTGCCTTGTTCTGTCAGTTTTCTCCATAAAATGAGCTCTGTACTGTAGAGGAGATGCTA